CTGCTCCGCGGGAAGCCTGCTTCTCCCTTTCCCACTCCCCCTGCTTGTGTTCCCTCTCTCACTGTGTCTCTCTCTGTCAAATAAATAAATAAAATCTGAAAGAAAAAAAAAATGTGATGCTATCCCCGATACTGGTAACTTTAAGGATACTTTAAAGCCCACATCTTTGCACTATTAGGTTGAATTGTGTGAAACTGTTGGGTTTGTTACAGGTCAAAAAGTCAAATATTAACAATTCCATATGGCTCAAACGAATATTAAAATTCTCTACATGAAAAGCAAAACAAAAAGTAATCATTCATGTTTTCCCCAAGACTTTACTATACAGTGATCTACATTTAACAGCAAGACTAAGAAACAGGGAAATAAAAGTGAAGTAGAATGGATCACTGGTCAACAGAAGAAAAATGAAGATAAACTATCCAGTGTATAGAACAAGTCATATAACTTAGAAATACATATTGAACAAAATGTGGTCAAACTACTCTCCTTTGATATAAAATATTACTGCTTAATTTTTTAAAGTACTTATACATATTAATAAATCCTTAAAAGATCCTTGTTGGGCAAAGCAAGTATTTATACATACAAAAACTGAAGTCCAGAGGACACTTTGTCCAAGGTCAAACAGGCAGTTAGCAGTCAAAACATATTTAAAGCTAAAGTCAGGTCCTGTTCCAAAATTAGCTATAATAAATTAAGCAGAAACTCAACAAATAAGAGATTTTTATTTTGTTCCAATCAGATTATGGAAGGAAGAATTAAGGGCAATGATCTGTGGAGCGCTGTCTCCTTTTTTATTTCCTAGCAATTTCAATATATATATATATGTTCTAAACCTATTATTATTTTTGTAAAACCCATAAACATAATATTTTAGGTAGTGATTAAATTATAAGAGTAGCTCATAAAAGCCAGTGCAATTTATAATTTAACTAGGAAGCTATAATCCTTCTGTAACACTAAAGTAGGAAAATACACACTAAAAGCAGTCTCTCAATCCCCTCCCCCTCTCTTTTCAAACTTAAGTACTAGTGCTTTAAGAAAAAGGTTTAAATGAGAAAGAATGTTGAAAAAGTGTTGAGGAACACAATTAAGGAGACTTGGAGGCACTGGGCAATGTTTTCAAAAGCAATGCAATGGTTTTTTTTTTTAGTGAATAAATATCACTCTTCAGAATCATCACAGAGCCCAGATAAATTATGCAAGACAGGGAGAGAGATTTTCCTGAGATACCAGAAGCAGAAACTGAATGAAAAGGGTTGGAAGAGACAACCTGAGAGCTACCGTAGAGGAACTGACAGGGACAGGTACACCGAGAAGCAGAAGAAACAGTGCAGCCCCGCACAGGAGCAGCCCCCAGGGGCCAGTTTAATAAGCTCCCTCCCCACACTGCAAAGTAAGGTCGCAGTACAGATTAAGTGAGGGAAGCCCCTGGAGAAGAGGAGCGGGGAGGAGTATTAAGGCCATCTGGATGGTTTTTAACGTATGTGAAGTATTTTTAACCCAAGAAATAGGTCTACTGGAATCTACCTATGCCTACCATTATTTCTCATTTTTGCTTCCTTCACATTAGGAAAGATGAACGACATGCTACCCACATCTTCTTTTCAGTTACAAATGGCACCCTGGATAGTCACAGTCATCTAATGCCAGATGTCTAGTTGGCCTGCTCTCATTGGCAGGGTCACTACAAGGAGAACAGCTGCTGGGACACATGCACAGTACACCATGAGAGGGGGGAGGGGAGGGAGACCAACCTGCCTCCGCATTCAGCTCCTCTAGAAGCCCGCTGGTCCTCCAGGTAGCTCCTGTGTCCTGGCCTCCTACAGAATTACTGTGCTCTTGAACTACTGCAGCCGCCAATAAATTGTCCACATTTACCACTTCTGGGTCAGAGCTGGTGTCAGACATATCATAATAAGCTACAACTGGAGGTCCATCTAGGGAGGAAAGAAAATGTATACTTGTATCTAACTTCTGGGGTGAAAAATACTTCTGTAACTAAGAGCCCTCCAAATGCCAGTTGCCTTTATCTTATTATTCTATCTGGTCAGAAAAGCTGCACTTTATACACCTAATATTTTGTACATGATGTGAAAGTGGAAAAGATAACCCAAGCTTATAAAGATGAGGGACACATTTGAAAAGTAGAAAAGGAGCATAATTATGAAGAACGGAGGACAACAGTATACTGAACAAAGTTACACTGAGTTCTTGCCATATTTCTAAAGAGCAAAAGATTATGAAAAAGGGGAAGACTCCACAGAGAGTAAAACTGATTTTTTAAAGGAAAAAAACTGAGGCAAACTATTAAAACTCATTTTATAGTTTTTAAGAGAATGAGTCTAGTTCTTTCTCTTAATAGCTAATACTTAAAAAGTCACTAATAGATTCAGAGAAGAAAATCAAATACGTATTTTTCTATTCTAAAGAACTAAGGCTAACACTAAGAGTTCTACTTGACTATGTCCAGTAAAGCCCTTTACAAATATCAGGGATGTTATATACTTTACAACATTCTACAAAAAAGAAAATACTCACAAAATCCACCTTCAGGATTTTGCTTTGGATGTCTTGTTAGGGAGAAATTTTCTTTTCCCTGAGAAAAACAACCAGCTCACGCTCCAAGGCAACGATATGCAACCTTATGGGTTATTTTAGAGGAAGACATTGAAGTCCTTACTGGAAAATAAGAGATCCCTTCTACCTCCAAATCATCCTAACTAACTGAAAAAGGCAGCAGAGCTCCAGAGTAATTAAACTGCAGTGATTCATGCTAAAATAACTCCATATTCATGCTTGTAGAACAGATACATGCTTTAAAATGCTAATGCTACCCTTTTTCTAATGCAACAGCAAAAAGCAAAAATACAGTTTTCATTCAATTATGAAACACATCCCTTACTACTATCTCCATTTTAGAATAAAGCAGAAATAAAAGAATGCAGTTTCTCCCCCAACAGCTATTTATGAAGTGCAGGCAAATTATGTATTTCCATAAAGATTTTTTAAGATCAAGACTGTTTAACATTAAACACGCCTATTTTATGAAACTCTTTGACTATGAATATATATGCCAATGAATCATTAAAATAGAACACAATGAAGGATTAGTTTTAATACAAACATCCATTGTGTAAATTGTCACTGAACAAAAGATGGAACACATTTGGGGTATTTATCCCTTAAAGCAAAGTTCTCAAATCACAGGTTTATGTAGCAACATTTTTAAAATAAAAATGACCAAATAAAAGCAAATGAGTTGTTAAGAGCCACTGTATAAAGAACAGACATGTCACAATATGAAATTCTGACGATCATGACAATTTCAGTTGACTACTTAAAAATAATTTCCAATTCTCCCAAAAGGGTAAATCAAGTTCATAAAATTCAATAGTGTGGCCTCAGTACCAGTTGGTAATGGGTTTTAGCTCAAATAGCAAAAAATTGGTTCATGTTTGATATTTTTCTTTTCTAAAAAGGAAAAGAAAGCTCTATCATTTATGGAGTTCTCGTCAGAGTTCAAAATGATTATTATGGAATCAAGATACTGTGTGATGTCCAAATACTTGGGTGCAGAAGATATGAGGGTCAAGTACAATATTGACTATTTGACCAAATGTTCTATTTTTAAAAGGGCTTTAGTTAAGTGTTGCTTTTACAATAAATTAGTAATTTATTTTAAAATTTATACCACTAGTACCATTCACAACCTCTTGTTCACACATCCCCCCGCCCCAACCACCAAATTGAGGCATCAGGTCAACAGTCAAGTCAAAATTGTACCACTCCTACATGTAGAGTCATGCAAAGAGTATAGTTGTATATGTACATGCAGAGTTAACATCACCTACCCATGGCAATAACTTGTCTGAAAGTCTTCATCAGTAGGAAATACAAGCATAAACTTGTTATCTGGCTTCATTCTTGTATCTTCCATTATTTCCAAACAGCACACCTTATAGCTTAGCTTAAATTTAGTATTCATCATAAACAAACACAGTAATATTTTCATATTTTAATTACACTTAAAAGTTGAATTATCATCAGTGTCATTTCTGAGTTCCAGTGTATCCAAAACAATGACAATACTATTCAAACTTTAATAAAGGAATGGCTGCCTTTTTATCTTTCTTCCAACAAGAAACCACAATTAAGAATCTTGTGTTCTTGAGCGCCTGGGTGGCTCAGTCGGTTAAGCCACTGCCTTCAGCTCAGGTCATGATCCCGGGGTCCTGGGATCAAGCCCCACATCCGGCTCCCTGCCCAGCGGGGAGCCTGCTTCTCCCTCTCCCTCTGCCTGCCTCTCTGCCTACTTGTTGTCTCTCTGTCAAATAAATGAATAAAATCTTTAAAAAAAAAAAGAATCTTGTGTTCTAAGGTCATCTTACACTTATCATTAGCAAACCAAGGTATGTTTAAAGCATTCATCATCAGGGCATGGACTTTAACCACTAAGTATTAGCTAACTGATGGTGATAATTTGTGATATTCTTTTAAAAGTGATTCTTGCTACATAGCAGAATTAAGAGACAGGTAAGATCCTGTAGTAATTTTATCTGCCTTTTAAAAGAAAGGGGGGGGGCGCCTGGGTGGCTCAGTCGTTGGGCATCTGCCTTCGGCTTGGGTCATAATCCCGGGCTCCTGGGCTCCTGGGATCGAGCCCCGCATCGGGCTCCCTACTCAGCAGGAGGCCTGCTTCTCCCCCTCCCACTCCTCCTGCTTGTGTTCCCTTTCTCGCTGTGTCTGTTAAATAAATAAATAAAATAAAATAAAATAAATAAAAGAAAGGGGGGGGGAGCCACTGAGGAGGAGCTAGGAAAATTCAACACATTAATAACAGAAGCAACAACTATGCTTCCAATTTGACTCTAATAATTCATTACAGGATGGAATAAAGATGGAGATACTGTCCTCCCTCCCAACTTGATTATTCCTCTACGCTGCTAAAACAAATGCAATGCTACTAAGATTTTCACTTTCAAAAACACCAAAATAGTCCCTTTAAGTAGTTATACATGGAAACATTTCCAATTTAAAATTTAATCATTAACGTAAGCACATTCCATGTTACAATATTTAAGGATTAGCCAAACTGCACAATCTCCCATCTGCTACCCTTGAAGTCTGTCACAATCTTAAAACACAAATTTATAATAATGAACTTACTAGTTCTTCTATAATCATTAAAAGCATATCTCAAAAAGGTATATTTAACACAATTAGCTAATAACTATTTGGTCTGTGGTTAATCAAAGTGCTGTTTCTCCTCCTGATTGAAATATCTTGAAATTTTTACTGGTCGTTATGATTATAAGGCAAGAAAAATTAAAAGTCAAGCAATCCACTACCTTAAGAACATCAATTAGTCCATTTTATGCTAGAAATAGGTTTGGACCCTCTCACTGACCTCCTAGCCTATAAACACTGTTTTAACTTTGCAAATAATAAAATACAGATGTGTCTGTCATCATACATTCCTGATATAGTGAAGTTTACACTTTTATGGACCTTAAACCTTCTGTACTGTTGTCATCGTGTTTAATTTTATGAATTCGTTTTCTCAATCAAATATGTTCTTTTTAAAAAATATGTTCTCTTAAACCTCATTGAAAGAATCTGAATCAAAAATAAAGAGGCAAAACAAAACCAACAACCTTTACTATGTTTATCCCTGACAAACCCCTTTTCAAATTTGATAACCAAAAGCACAGAATTTTAAAATTATGTAAGGTAATACATAATTTACCATTCTTGTTTTACAGATGAAAGATTTAAGTCCTACTTAGGTGGAAGCAGAATCAATTACATTACAGTTGTTCAGTGTTGAGGGAACTGGGAATATACAGGCAACTGACAGCAGCATAGGAAACACATAGATCTTTGGCAGCAAACATAACAGGTTAAAAGTCCTGCCTACTACTACTTAGCTGTAAGACTGTTTCTTCACAAGGTTATGGCAAGAGTTAAAGATGACATAACAGCACAATACTGGTCCACTGCCCCATCCTTCCATTATAATTAGCACCTGCCCTACTTCATTATTTGGCTGCTTTTCTTTACATGCAAATTCTGCCCTACAGAGCCTGCAAGCAAGCAGCTTTGAGAAAACATCACTGTCTGGATTGGTGCCTCATACTGGTCAAAAGATTAACCCAACTTGTGAAGTAAATGCTCTGCTAGGATTACTGAGATCACCACAAATGGGGCTTTTGTACTTTTATTTTTGTCTTAAGTGTCATATCAGTTTGGGTGTATTCATATAAAAGTGTTTCAAAGACAAATAGAGAACATTTTTGGATTATTTCATATTTTGCACCATCCTTGCCTATAGAGCCCTCCCACTAAAACAAGGGTTGTCAGTCTCCCAGTATGAAGTCTGATTAGATCTAGGAGACAGGAACTCCTCTTGTATCCCAGACATCCTAGAAATGCCACTTCTCTTTCTCTATTGGTCAAGTCTTAGGCCCAAGGAAAGGTGGGGCAATGGCCCAACAGATGCTTTGCCCCTTCAACTCCCATTTCTATGACTATAGTAATATACAGTAAAGCCCTGAGAAAATTCCTTCTGTTGTCCCTATTACAGCCAATCTCCTGAACCCCCCATGAGGAGAGGAAAAATCTATCTTGTTACTGCCAAATGATCCCATACAAGCTCTACTGCCACAGTCATTAGAGGGCCTAGGCCCAGTGCCATTACCTACAACATTAAGACAGTGATGGAAATCACACTTGACCTCAAACCAGATAGATTCAAAACAGTTACACCTGAAAGAAGGGTTCTTAGAAATTACCTACCCAAGGGGTCTAAGAAGGGAGAGTATGTGTGTGTAGTGGCCAGGTGAGAGAATGAGGTGTGGGGGAATAAGGGTGTGCTTATGAGGAATCGAGGGAAAGGGCAAACCTCAAGAAGGAAATTTGCATGTTATCAGAAGCTACT